AGTATTGAGATAGTCTCTTTCTACAACGATTTTGTCTACATCGATTTTCTCTGTATTTTTTGTGTGGTTCCATATGGTAATCTACCCATGTTCTTCATAACGAAACAGTCTCCGCAACAAAATGTTTTCGGTCCCTTGAATTTCGCTGAAGAGAGAGTCCACATGTTTAAACTTCAGCAAATAAATGGTAAACTTAATCATCGAGCACGCGACTTTTCGTTTTTCGTCATCATTCACTTGGCTGAGAGGATATGCTTTGTTCAGGTCAGAAATAGCTCAAACTTGTGTTTTCAAGTGACCGAATTTTCTGAGATCGGTCCTCCATCAAGATGCAATAGAGGGAAAATTAATTTATCCGCTGAATTCATACGACCATGTAATTATCTTCAGAGTTATACAATGCAACTGAAATTTCTTCAAGCTTTACAAAATGGCAGATTCAGTCAGGTGATGACACTGAAAATTATTCCAAGGAGGACGTTGATTCAGCTCTTGATCAAATTATTTCAATGCTCAAATAAATCAAGTGATGAAACGCGTGGTGAACGAAAACAGGAGTATGAGTTTTTTCATCCGTGAAGGAGACTTTAAATTAAAATGACCCATATTATTTCAAACAGTAGATGATCCGTGGTCCGGCAGAAAACTTTGATTGAAATTATTGGAAACAAATGTTCATTACTGATTCTTATCAAACAATCTTCCCAATTGATTTTTCCGGGAAGTGTTATTGTGAAAAATGATCAGAAGAGTAAATAAATATAATCAAGACTCTTTAAATTTGTCATACTCTTGCAAGATTCCATGTAAAATCTGATGATCAAATAGCATCGAGCAAATGCAGCCGGGATGGAATTTTCATAGATCACGGGAATACAAATAGGACGTTATACAAGTGATTACAGATTTGGGCAAACCATGTGTCATCCTCTGACCTTCTTCTGCAATGCTATCTCTAGAACTGGTATAGAGATATGAGGAACAAGCATTCGTTCGTTTCCATCCAGATACTATTCATGCCTTCATTGTTCACGGGTGTCTTGAGAAATGCAATGGGAGCATTATACCAAATGTTCACTTTAGCGGTGCCATTTACGGCTGTATCGCTCATTCGCCGACGCCAGACTGAAGAGCAGGCCGGAGAGAGATTTGCTCCAACTACTGTACAGTAGAAGTCAAGGGAACAGCGGATGCATTTCCATTAGGAATGCCACTGTATAAGACCAGACCCTCATGCAAGATTCCTCTCCGGTGCAACAAACCCTCTTGAGGACCCGTACCTGCGGATGGAAGTGCGGGACAAATGCGTGAATAAACCATGACTCTCCGGCGTGATGATCAATCCGTCTTATGATGATGAACTCATGGCCGCTTCAGCTGATCTGTGCGATGACATTCTAGAAGTTCTCGGATGGAATAGGAGGGGTTTCTTTTATTTCAGAAATTTTACCCCTTATCGTGAAAAAAACGATTTCATTTTCTTTCTACACCAATGTTCCCCAACCTTTTTGGGCCTACGGACCAACAAATTTGCATAGCATTTTTTGTGGACTGGAAAATTTATAGAAACTTTTTGCAGATGCAAAAAATGTTTGTGTGTAAGACTTTATGGTAGAGGTATTTGAAAAGTTTCTCTTCTTTTTTAAATAAGGGAAGAACTAATGAAGCAGTTATAGCGGAATATCGTTGAAAGGTGGGCTTGGACAAAGGTTTCTCAGAATGATAAATTAATACTGTATATTTATTTTTAGCAGGTGACAATTTGTCTGAATGATTATTTGGAGAAAAGCCAATTTTTATTTTTCATCAGATACATTAATTTCAACTGCCACTGTCTTTGCGAAATTTTAGCTGTCTATCATCTGTGTTGATTCATTTGCACATTAAATCAATTTAAATTCGAGGATATATATTTTATTAATGTATTTTTTTCCTGAATCAAGCTGGTGCTGAGAAATGCTGCTCCTCGTGAAGACAAAATTTTGAATCAATTTTGACAGAATGCGTCAAGTACATGGAGGCACTTTTCAACACTTGCAAGTACCAGTAAATGCTGACGACTGCGAAAGCTTTTGAAAAGCCTCTTCCAGCTTTTGAGTAAAGATTTTGAGCGGATCCGTTTTTTTTTCTCTCCTGAGAGCAAATGCGGCATGAAGAATGCCATGAAGGAAGCAGCTAGTGGCTGCTGGAAGTGGTGATCCTGAATGTGATCAGCTTCAGCATCATGGTACTCAAGTATTCCGATATGATGAATTTTATTCGAATAAAATATGAAACAGAACAAAACGATTGTGAAGGATGCATTCTAATCGGATCTCGTTCTCCAGTCGTCCTCTTGAATGGCGCGCTTGAGAGGGTTTGATATGAAAAAGAAAATGAATTCGCTTCAACTTACCATCTAAAGAGTGCTCGTCTAAAAATATGCTTCCGATGAAATCTGGCACACTTGTCATGATGAATCTTTTGTATAAAATCTAAATTCAATCCTTCCTCGTGCTTAATATGTAATCTCGAAAACTTTTCCGGTCCGTACTGAGTCATTTTATATGCAGATTAAAAAATTTGTTCGGCGTAAAATTCATTAGCAAGAATGAATAGATAAGATCAACTTCTTAAAATTTGATTCAATTTTGTGGGATTAAATTTTGCTGTCGATGGAATATTATGCCCTAAGCGGTGTGATGTCAGCAGCAATCAACATCTAATGCTGTGAATTATGATTTAAACGCTTTTTAATGGAAGTAAATAGTCTGTCGAAGCCGGATTATGTTTAATTCGTCGTTTGCTCGCAGAAGAAAAATAATAATTTTTATTATTTTATACTTTCATCTCAATTAAAAATGTATTTTCTTATGAAATACTGTTCGACGAAATACATGCCTCGGCCTTACACAAGTTTATCGATTTTCATCAATTTCAAGGAACAACACAGTGAGCTGATGAAGGACAAAAGTCATCGAGTTGCATTAGTTTGTTAATGCATCATCGTGAACTCCTTGAAATTATGTCCGAAGAAAAACCTGCTTCTGTCGGATTTTCTCGGGAGGTAAAAATCCCATTCCATTATTGGCGCGGAACTAGAAACTAGGGAAGCCGTACCGTAACCCTAACTGGGTCCGGAATTTTAATCAAGTTGCTCGGGTCCGTGTTGGGACCAGCAATGATCCCGGACGGGTTTTCGCAATTGCGAATACCCCACGTGTCGACGAAATGAAACACAAGACATCGTCTCGAAAACATGCCTCCGACCCAATTCATTAATCCAGAAAGTTCAGTTCGATGATCAATAGTCTCCCGCGGGCACAGGGACATGTAAAGCGAACTCCACGCTTAAATCTTGGTTATTTGCTCTCACGCGAGACCTACCTAGGAGTATAGCTCATTTTGCGAGAAACGAGTACAAGCCCTAGGAACTCTACGTCGTCGAAGAATCAATGCCACCGAGGACCGGATGCTACGAAATTAATTAACACACTTCCAAAAATAATTCCTGGCTCTCATCAGACGCGAGGTAAACGCAGTTACATATTCATTCGTACACCACTCACCAACACAGCACGCGCTCGAAACACTGAAAAATAAAAAGTTTTTAACTCGTGGTTTCTTTTCATTTTTTTTGATTATGAACCAGTATAACAACCCGACGTTTCCCAGCCCCAGGTGCTTCATAAACGAAGAATTACGTCCACATTCCAATACGTCCAGTCAGACTGGAAACGCTGAATACATTTTCTGTCCTGAACTTCAGACATTTCCATCAGCCATCATGACAAATCATTACACAGTATGGACGACCTCATCTTGGATAATTTCATTGGTAACTTTCAGCAATCCTTTTGACGGTTCATGGGAACAGCTGTGCTCAGTGATTCACTTCGCTAAAAATCGCTCGTCTACTTACGGGACCAGGGATAACTCATGAACCGACGTTTTTCAGTGGAATGCTTCATAATTCCCATAAGCCCATTCAAGTACTTGAGATTTTCCTTTTTTTTGGTGCTCATATCGTAAGTCCCGAAAAAGTTTGGGACAGCCCCTGACCGAACACTCCTCCGGAAACACTTAAAAAACACGGAAACGTTGAAGCGTTTCAGATTGGTATCTCCAATGATCAGCGTAAGAGCCCGGATGCAAAAGGAGAAACCTCTCCATCTGCGTTATTTTTCATAGCAGCTAGAAAAGAAAAGGGCGATTCATCAGAGTGACAGTTGTAAGTTTAAAACATGGTTTCGAAATAAGGAGACGGGATTCGATCATGTTGCATTCCATTTTCTGTGGCAGGAAGACAATAAATTCTGCATAAGTATGAGATGAAAGGTTACAGATAATTTCACTCCGTTGGAGATTAAGTAAAATTCCGCCTAATCTTGAAAGCCGTTTGATTTCCCGAGAATATTTGTGGAATATAATTTACGTCATAAATGTAAGTCCACGTAGGTGTGAAAATACTTACATCTCCGAGTGAATTTGAACTTATTTGATCTCACAAAAAGAGCATGTTGGCCGATTGACTTATCTTCTTTAGAAAAAGCAATAATCGTCATTTTTAGATCATCACTCTTAAAATATAGGATTAAATTCCTCCTCGAAACTTCTGCGGATTTACTTTTCATGCGATAATGTGAATTCTGCAGGCGGGATGTTAGTCTTATTGATAAAATTTCAACTTCCTTGATTCGCGGAGGCTTCTTCGAACCAATGTTTATGGAAAGCCCCCTTTTTCTAAATTATATTCCTTGGTTTTATATATTCTTCTCCGAGAAATGGGATCAGATCTTCAGTTTTATCGGATCCTCTCGTTTTGGCTTATTTTTCTGCAGCGCTCGCGGACCCCCAAAAGAACTCTTCGGGGGTCCGCGAAGCACTGGTAGTAAACCTGTGGGTCAACGAATGTCCAGCAACACTCTGGGTCAACGCGGCCACCATTCATGGATTCTCTGACATGTTTCGACCCCATATCGATGCCGGAAGGGACATTTGTTCCTCCTACAACCGGGCTCTCAGTTTCCGTAGCGATGACTGGCTTCCTTCGCCAACACGGCCCCAATGCACACAGATACGAGTTCGTACACCGCGGGTTCATCGGGATACGATACTGAAGACAACAGGGCCCCGGCCTGGGATAAGCAGAATGACGCCGCGGTCGTTCGTCGCGGAACTGTCAAAGGCGGATGCTTGGTGTCCACTGACGCCGTCGGTTCAGGCAGCGCCAAAGCCCCGACGGATGTCTCCACAATCGGGTCCATCAATTCTTGTCCGGACAGGGCGGTACTGCGTCGCTGCACCTGAACACAAAAGAAATCCCGATTGCTCAACACAGGGAAAATCATGCGGCGGACAAAGAACGATCGCGTATGTCATCCCTGCACGGACTCGGAACGGATTTCCCTGATTCCCCGCGGCTGGACGACTCGTCGCCATGCGAAGCGCGTTTCCGCACTTTCCTCCACATGCTGACAGACTGCAGCCTCGAGCCCCTGTCACGAGGATCCCTCGATCCTTGAATTTTTGTTTTTGGTTTGTATGCAACCCCCCCCCCCCCCGTTCTGAAAACTGAATCTTCGGCAGGTTTCGTTTCTGTCTCCGGTGGAATGCCTTCCCGGCGGGGCCGTGCATCACAAATTTATGTCTCCTTGACCCCCGCTTCTCTAGTGGGCAACTTCCAAAGTCCCCTCCTTCTCGTTTTCATCGCAATATCGCCCTTCTCCTCGTTTTCTTGATTTCGCGTGTTGAGTATTTGTGGATGAAATTTACTTCGAAAATGTATTCTGGGAAATAGGGGCCTTTATTTTGAATTTTTGTGTTCGAACTGAGACAGGAATTCAGGGGAATTCAGAATTAGTCAGGCATTAGTGATGATGCTTCTGTACATGACCTGGGAATATTCCAGGAAATTTGTGAAAGGGATTCAGGTCGAATTTTCCAAAGGGGGTTGGATTTGTCCTTTATTAGAGTGAAAGGAAATTTCCATTTTTCGAGTTTAAAAAGGGCTGGGAAAACTGTAATTCCGTATTATTGCAAGCAAAATCATTGTCGAAATATTGCCTGTTATTTCAAGAATGATTGCTTCCAAAGTTTTCTGATGATTTTTGTCCTAATAGCACACAAACTAAGAGAGTTGATTCTATGTGTAAGTTTTCCAATTTGGACCTCATAGCCCTTTTCATGATGCATCAGCATACTTATGGGATAGTAAACCCTCCATTTATATGGGCTATGTCTTCTTAATTACAATCAGACTTCGAAAATATGTTGTGCATGAAAATATTTTGCCCCGTCGACGTGTGTTATTCTATTGAGCAACATTCAAAAGTTATTGAGTTTCAAAATCTCGATAGTTTGGGCTAGGCTTTTCTTCAGATTCTGATATACTTGAATGTGCTGACATACAAATTTGCTGCACCTTCAATCCATACTAGCTGATAACTTCCGAGATTTCCTCCTTCTCATGTCGTTCTCATGAAATTTGAAGAAAAACAACTGGGATTCAGGTGATAAAAATTATGTCACAACTTACTGAGGGTCCCTTTTATGTCAGCAACATATTCTCGATTGGAAAAAACCCGAAGTCAGCGTATACTGGAACACACATATGTAAAAACGAAAAGCCAGGATCTCCAGAAATATCAATTTCCAGATCGGGTTCACAAATCTGTTGGTTAAGCTGAGAGGTTCAGGATAATTTTGGAATGAATAATCGAAGATTGGATCGTATTTTATTCTTCAATTAGGTGATGCAGTTTCTGAAGCATTACGTACAATTTTGGAAAGTAGCACGTTATCGCGACGAGCGCATCGATTTTTTTCCGGGTATCTAGGATGTATACAGTGTGATAAAAATAGAACAGTAGGTGTTCATACATAAATCATTGATGATTCATGCTGCAAAATTACACCTGAGATCAAGAGGTGCCGTGATGCCAAATGCTTGTCAAAATGTGATCGAGTTCGAATTTCCAGCAGAATAACTTCTCACTTTCGTCCATATGTGCCTCTTCGCAAACACACGCATGCTTGAAAAATCGGTCACAAGATCCTACAAACGTCGGCACTGGACTTATGCTTTCTGAAATATGGGTAATTGAAACACGAAAGAAATTCTACTGTCATATTTCTTACCGTATATTATGCCATTTTATCATGATACCATATGGTGTTCGATAAAATGCTAAGCGCCTCTTAGTAAGGGAGAAAACATTCATATGAACCGCATACAATTTTATCAAAGAACAGGGGTCATATGGACGATACAAGTTTTCCTTATCTTCTTTAAACTCGTCAGTATTGAAATAAAAAGTTTCTGCCTGCTAAATTGTTGAGGTTTTCAGTATGTATCTCGTAAATCGTGGGCAGGGATATTTTAGTTTCTTGATACAATTCGGGTTTCAGTCTTTTCTACGGAACTTTTGAGATTTAGACTCTGTGGGAAACTCTTGCAAGAGTTTCCCACAAGACTCTTGTAAGAGTTTCTGGGCAATTTTTTACACGAGAAACTGGGAATAACACTGTTCACGTGGTGAATTTCGGAAAGTTTCAAAATTGCTTCTGTGGCATTTTTCTACTGGTATGCACACGTGACCTGCTACGTAATGGGAATAGCAGAATAATCACTTTTTTTTTTAGGAAAATCTTGCCCCTGAGGGATTTCTGATTATTCAAAAGAATTTATTCCGTCTTCCACCAGTGGGAAATATTTTTATCATACTGCAGCGACAAATTAATTAATAGCGTAATGCATCTGATAGCGGAATCGGAAAGTGCCCCTTCAACTAGAAATTTACCACATACTGTACATTTAAAGATTTATTTTAATGTTATGCAGATACTGAGTGTACTAGAGATCTTCATGCTCAATGCGCATGGAGCATACAACATCATCGAAGAACCGGAGCATTCCATCCCACTGAAGGTACTGTATTATTGAAATGGAGATTCCAGCGACGGATTTATTCCTTATTTCACCAAGGATGTATCTCATTAGATGTTGGAAAATGTATGCTTCGTGCTACGGACGTTGATGTTACAGTATTCGATCTACTACGAGAATGTACAATAATCGGCAATGCAAATTGGAGTGGCAGAGACTATGGAGATACTGTAAGACGACCATGTTCGGTCATATCCTGACCCGTTTATCTTTGCAATGAAGGTAAGCATTTATTAAATTTGCTATAGCTTATTATAATTCGCTTTATGTCATTTTCAGGCTTATTTTTTTGCAAAATACCCAGGGAGACCAACTGAAGACCCAAATGAAAGGTCACCTATTTCAAAGCGCAGAAGTGTACGATTTTTTTACATCAATTGGAGAAAAATTACGGACTAAGGACCAGCATTTAATCATCATTTAATGAGAGAAAAAATTTCAGTCACTAATACCGTCGAAAAATATTTAACTTTTGCACTTGGTACTCGGGGTTCGTTGAAGAGTTCTTCTGTCGGAGTGCCTCGTTTTGGCACGGTCTCGAGAATGTGCCAAGGTTTCTTTTCTGCGAATATGCTGTTGCCAGCAGTGACTGGGAAGAATATTATTTGAATGATTCCATTCACTTACGGGAAAAATCCTCCACGAGCGCGGCAGGTTATAAAAATGCATCGATCACCAACCGCAGGAAAAAGAATAATATTTGGTTTGAAATGAATACGTACGTGCGACAGGCTGTGTATCACTGACAAGGGGTCGCGAGTATTTTCCGGAATGCCTTCCGGAATTCCATGTTCCACACGGTATAAATAATTGGATTCATGAAGGAATTGATGTACCCCAGCCAGGTAGTGGTGAGGAAAAGCGTAACCCCAGGTCTCCAGGCTGCTTCAGGCTCCTCCAACTTCAGCGAAATTGCCTCCAAAATGTTACAGGTGAAGAATGGGACCCAGCATACCAGGAACACGGCTGGAAAATCGCAGAAATGCAGAAACCGGATTCATGAGCTCTACTTAAGGTCGAATCGCAGGTTTTCAACGAAGTTTTCGAAAACAGTCCTGGTTCCAAGAAACTTCTTTTTGCACATTCATGAAGAAGAGCTCTTCTAGAATTCCCCGAGGGAATCCGTTCGACATCTGGTGTGCCCTGTTGCCACGAATGCATTGAAAATCTAACAAAAAGAGGTTAACGGAACATGATTTTTAGTTATTTGATATCAAGTTTTTCAACGAGTTCACAGCGGAAGTTTTCACTCGCTCCCGTAAGCGGTTCGCGATGGATCACCATGAATGAAAGTTTTACTGCGATTCAAAATTTCTAAAAAGAGTCTCATTCACAGTTTTTTATTTTCCCAGAAAACGGCCTCAAAAAGCGAAGGCTGAAGTCAGAAGGAATAAAACGTTCTCCGTTAAGAATATTTAATTCTTTTTGGGATAAAGATTTAAGAATTCAATGAAGTATTCGCAATCGGGCATAAGGAGGGTACAAAAAGCGCATTCTTTATCCTGAAAGGCACCACAAATGCATATTGAAGTTTGTTGAAAGTGAAAACATGGATTCAGCCACTTCACAGCAGAATACCCCATACAACGGAGGATTCAGAACTTTCATAAAATGCACCTTGAAACCACAAAATTCATGGCTTGGACAACTTTTTCGCTAAAAAAAAAACACTTCTCTGAGAAAATGTCACATTCACCATCAAAGACACAAAACCTGCAAAAATCGCAGTTTCACTTCTTCGGAGTACGAGTGTCCGGTGTGAGGCAGGGTTCTTAAACCATGTTCTAATAATTTACAGCATTTCTCAGCATGAGAATCCGTGAGAATTTTTGCAGGGAAATCTAGTTCATTCTTCAGATACATTTTCAGAACTCCCAACTTCTCCATTTCAACCTGGTTGAACACGCATTGGATCAGGTGTACGGATCCGATCAGAAATTACCCCTTGGAAATTACGTTCATCTCCAAAAAAAACAGCAAAATGCTGAATAGGCTTCTGAGCCATCACTCGTAATTTCTTGAATGTTTGACAGCAATTGTTTTTACTCGAATCAATCGCAGAAGGAAAGTCGAAGAAATTTTAAATCTCTGAAATGGAAAAGTCGACTTCGCCGCATTCCGGGCCACTTTTCAGGAAAACTGACAAGGGACGTTATCAGAGCTTCACCTACCACAGCGGGAAACAATGAAGAAAAGAAGGCTAACGAACCGGGCTCGATCCTGGCTCAGGAGATACCGGGCCAATTCTTCATTTTTTTCATTATTTTTATATTTTTCAGAGAGAGGTTTGATTCAGTCCTCCGCATGTAACAAAGACAAAAAGAAACCATGTTCGAATTTTATTTGGAAAGCCCGTCAGAAATTCTGATGATCGAGATTCAATTCGAAAAATCCATCTAACTATACTTCGCATCTTTCACACATTTTCCTTTTTAAAATTTACTGTTTATTGCGTATTTCCTGATATATTCACGAGAAAGCGCAAGGGATGCATAAACGCCGCGCATTTTGAGTATTTTCCTGTGAAAAAGGGAATTCCTCGCGTCTCCATGATCTCTTCGATTTTGTACCCATCACTGAATTTCAAATAATGGACTTCGGGCTAAAATGAATGGAAGCATGAGGGACTCCAGGTCAGATTGACGGGAGTCGAGAAGAAAAGGCATTGCTCCTTTGTGACGTCGACAAGGTTTCTCTCTTGATGCCATCCCCCATCATTTTACGCCGTAATTCGTCCCCGAGTTATTGGGAGTATCCCCGAATGATGAGCAGTAATTGATCAAGAAAGCTAGCTGGAGTGAGGGGGGAAAAATTGACGGGGATCGATGGGTGAGGCAGCGCACATCGGGGCCACATCAACTGACCTGACTGATGAAAGAGGATCCCGGGGTTTTTTGCGGAGTTCAAAACGAGCACGGCTCGCTGCACATAGGCCGGGTCTTGAGAGGAAAGAGTGGCAGACTTACTGAAAAACCTCTTTGCCGGTTCGTTAGTCTAGTCGTGGTATCATTCCCCTCCTTGGCGAAAATTTCCGTCAATGAAAAGGGAGGATCGGGAAAAGGTTCAGGCCTCCATCGGAAAATGGATTCCCGAGACTGTCCATTCGTTCAGAAGTTTTAGTTCCAATAACCCGCGTCGTCCGTGAGCGATGCATTGTCGGCTCGCAGCTTTTTCCCGCCGTCGGCACCCAGCTGCTTATTGACTTTCTTGTTCGAGATAGTGGAACAATAACGCGAGTAAGCATTGCCTTCAGAGACAGCGACGCCTTCTACGAGAAGTGGACCTAATGTTTTCCACGAATACAGCCGAAAGAAATGCTCCCTGCGTGCTTTCCCGCGGAAAATTCGCCACCGTCTCGATTTCATTTTTCTATTTCTCCATTATCTCCGCAGATTTCCTCGCGTGGCATAAGAATATCATTTCTCACGTTAAATGTCACGTTCCTTCAGAATTTCAAACACGTGGCCATTACACCCAAGATGGGTGGCAGAAAATCGACATGCTGCTTGCTGACACGTCGGGAGAGTTCATGTAATTTGGGGTTGCTTTCAGAACATTTCTATGATTCACATAACATTTTTTCTAAAATTATTTTATCCGGATAATATATTTCCGGGGTCCGGTGGAACTCTACTGCTTCAGCACGCAGCTTCTCCGCTACGTGGATATAAATTGTAAATATTATTTGATGATCCCCTGAGTATCTGTCCTGAGGGAGACTTAATCTGCAATAAAAGTGAAGTATACAGTACAATACTATAATTATAATAAGCTGAGTAACTTCAAATTTCATGACTGTACTTATAAAACGATTTTAAATGGAAGGAGTAATCTCCAATCCTTGTTTAAAGATGCGTGTAAACATGATTTGATATGTTCCTGGTGGCCATGACTGTATTCGAAAATATTTAGCGGTATAAGCGTTCATTTTTTTCGCAAGGATCTGCGGTGATTATAATAAGACAATTATAGAATAAATGCGGTGATTTGATCCTTCCTTCCAAATAAGAAGCATTTCTGTTCAGATTTTCGCATTCTCGACAGGAAAGAATTATTCAGCTTCGTAATCGTTTGATCGCTCCGACTTTCTGGTTCCTCGTCTGGCTTCCGAATTTCTTGAACTGCGCTTGACATTTTCGTCCACTTGATCATTACCCCCGACCCCAGCCGGCGACCCTGATTCAACGTTTCGTTCGATTGCTATGGTCCCGTATAGAGCCCGAGAATCCCCGCAATAACCCTTCACTGCAAAGGAATCTCTCAGGACTCCCTGGACCGAATTTCAACGTGACGAACTCGGGCGTAATCGTTGGCAACGCGCGGTGGCCCCTTCCGCATTTTCTAGAGGTCGTAAAGGGGCCTTAAGCACGACCCGCCGCGGTAATCCCTTTTGTTCAGCTTCACTGGCATTGAATTCCTGTCGGTCTCGCAAAATTCTCATATTTTTCAATCCCCCGATGCTGAACTTTCACGGCCAACGTATGCATTTTACGCAGTTGGATGTGGCGGGAGAACAGTCATGGCGAGAAAAAAGGCCGGCGTGTAGAAAACGCCGCGGTGTAGACAATGCCAAGGGGAGAGAAGGCCAGTGAGAAGCGGGAATTTCCAATTGCACTTCCGTAACACTTCGCAATCACTACAGGTCAAAATTTGAGCATATCTTCCTTTTTCGGTCTTTACTGTTACTTCTTGATTAGCTTTCCTATCCTGTAAATCACGTTTTCTGTTACAGAAAATTAGAACAAGATCTCGGATTTTCGATTCGTTTTGCGCCACAAAATTAAATAGCCTTTTATGGACTGATCGCCTCGCAGTTATGCCTGAGCTCGTAATTTGAGCTACTGTGTCTGCCCAAATAAAGTATGGGTCACGTGAAATTTTCGGGCGTACCCTGATTTTAGAAAGGGATGAGAGGGGGGAAATGCATGGGTTGAAAAAATAAATGGAGGTCGTCCAGAAAACTTGCGGTCTATTCAATTTCCGTTTGTGGTCAAAGCAAAAAAAAAAATTAATTTCGTGGGTTTGACAGAGGCGCACGACACAGAAAGAAAGAGAACGCATTCATCAGCGGTTACGCAGCCTGGTCCTCCGGAAGGGAGTCCCTTGAAAGCCGGCAGTTTATTCCCAGGGAAATGAAAATGTGACAGCAACAACACGGATAGAACACAAAAAGGGAGTCTGACTGCTGAGGGGCAACACAAAAAGATTTTCCTCCTCAAAAGCACAACTTGAACACAGAAAGCTTCTTTATTGTGGCAAGAAGATGCTCGCAAAAACACTTTGTTGTAGATGAGTGTTGTAGCCTACATTCTGACCCTCGCAAAGACAATGACCGGCTCCAGACTGGTCACCGTATGGTCATCCTTCACTATTCTGAAAGTGCTGCATTGGGTGTCGGCCGCGCAACACTGCGCTGGAAGTGTGAAGTTCGTGGCAAAAATGCTGTGCAACATTATTATTTTTTTTTACAGAAAATACGGTGACCCCCATCTTCTCACTGGTCCGCAAAAAACGCCTAAACATTTCAAACTTCTCGATATAATTCTCTATGTTTTCTCTATGTAGAGCATTGTTTTTTAAATGTTGAGTGCATAGGCCGTACATACAAAATTGTGATTGAGCTTCTGCTAAAATTTCGCTAGGATAAAATATTCAAGTACACGATGTCCCACTGCGCTTAACTGAACGCCATGTTCGGTGCTATTTTCTATTTTCAATCTAATCCTATTTTCAATCCACCTGCCGTGAATTGAAAAAATAAAAATAAAATAGCTGGGACAGAATATATCGGGTGAGACGGGTGCGGTTGGTTTAATGGAGACTGTCTGATGAGGCACGTCACAACCAAAAAGGCTCGGGTCCCACAATTTGGCATACGTAGGTTAATGAGGGAGAATTCCGGCTCTGCCGCAAGGCGGACGAGAAACCGCCCCTGAACGCTGATTTGCGCAAAAAAGGGACGACGTGTATCAAGTCGACATCTGCGGCGGCCCTTTTATTTTTGCTCTCCGTCGTCGCGGAATGACGGTCTCACTTCAAGAATCCTCGCCTCAGGGATGAAGCCGAGTTCCGACTGTGTTAAATCTTTCTCGGAATCGGATGGTGTCGCAGGAGTCTGGGCAGAGTGTCTCACAAATCACGGTCAGCGAGCGGATATTGCATGCGTCCTCGTGAGCGCAACGCGACATATATTCAGCTCATTAGTTACGCATTATTAAGGTTCATAAAAGCTATCAAAAGACCGCGTCGGAATAACGTGGTACTCGGCGTAATCGCCCCGGGGTACCCAGAGAGTGCAACCTTAATTGCGCCGCCAAGTGATGATGAGCGCTCTTGAAATTACGCACTTCCGAGATTTATTCCCCTTGGTGCAATAAGCGCCGCGGAACGACCCCGCGCCGGGCACTTTTCCACGCAGAAACGCATGCCTAGTCCCTTTTCAGCGAAGAAGACCGAACCTCAATGACCACTTCGGAGAGTGCTTAGCGGAATTGCAGGCAAAGCAAGCGAGGTCTTTTCGACGCCGAAACTCAGAATGTCAGTTTCGTCTCAAGTTCGGGGGCGCATTCGAACTTAACCCGGCCGCGGGAAGACAGACGTCGACAAGTTTACACAAGCAGCCCAGTGGGTAGTTTGCGGCGCGGGAACTCAATTAGCTGCATGTCTCATCTTCTCATGTTCGCAACACCAGTCACTCAGGGATACAATGGGAATACAAGGATATTGCTTGCACGGATATCGCGCCGCGGGGAGGCGCACGGAATCCCGAGGATCTCCGGGGAAATACACGGACGCCGTGCTCAACGTTGCATCCCAATTGAACCCCCGCCGTTTGTCGCGCTCTCCATGATTTCATTTTATTCATTTTACTCGGGTTTCCTGCCTGAGTTTTCGAAAATTTGCGACGTGCGGGATCGGCGGTGGTCCGACGTGATCAACATGGAATTTAAGATTCACGTCAGACTCGTGATGCATCGCTGCCCGGCTACACGCCAGTGATTCCGCGGATAAAATTTCCAAAATAATTCCTCGCCTGCTCCAAATATTTACGGTAGTGCATCATGCAACGAGCTTCTTATGAGAAGAATGTTTTACCTCACAAAAAAACATTTCCTCGTGAATGAGTGTCACAAGAAATTGTGTTCCGTATCAGGATTCAGGAATCCTTTGTTTCCTAAAAATATACCTGTAATGAACTTTGAAGAGCTCTCAACAATGAAACGACGGAAGCAAACGGGACATTTTTATGATAAAAAAAATTACGAATTTATGCCTTTATTTTGCCTCATTTAAGCTACTTACTATTCCATGGAAATCAGACTTTTTCTCATTTTCCGAACTATCAGGTTTATGCGGTTTATTCTGGAATACAGTACTTCTGCGCATTGACCTTTGAAGGAAGATCGCTGAGAACTTGGGTTAATCAATTTGAGACTCAATAGTATATGGATGTGAAGTCATTTCATATCATGTTCTCTAATTTTGCCGTTTTGAACATCAAGGTGTAACGGCTCCATTTTTAAAAACTCTAAATCGTTGAGCATTTGCGTGGAGGAACGCTTTCAACGCAGCGAATCCCTTCGATCCGTTTTTAAAGGAAAAATTTGAATATAAAATATGGGTGCGTCTTTCATTCCGAAGCATCTTACGTAACTTCACACATGGAGTGCCTCCTGTGTCTATGGCAAGCTCAATCTTCCGCATAAAAGTCAAGTTTAAAATTCAATTAAGAAATCCTTATTATTTTCAGTTCAAGGACAGAAGACGCAGGACGCTGACTTTCGGTTGAAGTGTTGTTGAAAATTAAGCTGGTTACTGAAGCAGGAGTAGAGGAAACAGACTCCTTTCATTCGTGGAAATTGTATTTAATTAAATTTCTGGCGATATTCCCAGGCTAATTTGTTTTGTTTTCTATAGAGGCACACAAAAATAGAGTCTTCTAAAATTTGCGGCGTTTCACATTATTTTGAAGATTGGTAATCTGACGTCGGCATTGACCCTGAATCCGATTCTAAGTGCAAATTTCATAAAATTAGAATGCATCCGAGTTGGAACCATAAAAATGCGTCTTCCGTCCGCAGTTACCCCCCTTAGTTCAGAAGTTGGCTGTATCATGTTCGTATTTATCAATTATCCGGGCGCATGACCAGAGGCTTTCTGCTTATGATTCAAAATAAAAATCGAAAAATTTGAAGTCTCTCCAATCAGACGCAATTTAAGCAAGCTTCGTTTAATCCCAGGAAGAGTGATTCAATCAATTGTCCGAACACATGCAGACTAAAGGCGGACCCAAGAATTTTTAATACAACCTTCTGATAGTTCCAGTTGATAATTATGCGTCCGATCTGCACGGGTATCTTCGCGCTTGAAGATTTCTTTTCTATTCCTAAAATTCCGCTGCCCTCCAGATATTTCATCAATGATACAGGTAAACAAGGGAAATCGATACAATCATTCGTTCAAGATAACCCGACAAGAATTTGAACATCGCGATATTCCATTTAGACTGATCATGATGTTCACCCGAATACCGTGCGACGAAAGGTCCCCGAAGTACCTCATTCGATATAGAGGTCATTTGCCGAAAAACGGTTTCTTATCTGGATGCAAATGCAACGCAAGGCTGTGCGATCCCAATCTCATGGATGTGCATGTTCAAGTGATCCTCGATAAAAACCAAATGTGCCACGTAGCTCTTTGAACCGTCGTCGATATGCATCAAATGTTATCTCCGACTGTAAAATTTCCCCCAGATATTTTGTGGAATTTGAAGTGCTAAATTCTTTCACGCAGACCAGGTTCCAATTAGAAAAAAAGAAAAAGAACGTATTATTTGTAGCTCGTACGTCTTCGTGAATTTCAAGCAGTACCAGACCCATATATGGAATATCGGGGATTTCGTATTGGAGAGAAAAACTCTTGAACACTTGAGGGTTAAGAAGTTCACTTGATTAAACGTTATCGGATTCTTGTGGAAATTCAGAATCGTAACTACTTCTGTGAACTGATAGCAGCTTGAAAGGATTCTCTCCGAAATCCTCGTTTTTGCTGTCAATGCACAAGTGAGAAGAATGTTCTTGTCACTCAATTGAGGCGCAAATAAAATCTTGATTTTGAGGCGATTCTGCAGTTTTCCAAAGAATATATTGGTCCTTTTCCTTCTTTTTAGTTCCGTCCACAGCAGCATTTGACCGGAAAGCACAGAAATTACAATTCTCCGGAATTGGTTTAATTCAGGTTCAGCACAAGATAATATTTTTTTCAGTGACGTGGCTCTCAACTCTCAAGTCACAAACCCACACCAATGCTTCGCAGTTCTTCGCCACATCAATCTCATTACTGGATACCGCTGCAAAACATCGTGAGAAAAACACTCTTGGGTGTTTTTCTCAAGATGTTTTTGAAAGTTTCCGCCGGGCATTTTCTGAGATAATAAACTCGGTTAATTTAGAAGTCAGTTCCAGATCTTGACTGTATCCAGAAAATGTTGTTGCATTACTGATATAATGTAGGCTCGGGTTTCAATTTAGGTTGAAGCAGTTTACAGATAGTTTTCCCGCCTCAATTCTTTTTCGTTTTGTCAATTACTGTGTGATCAAGCTGGGTGCCGATGTAGTAATGTCTTTCGCGGGCACAGTATTAAAAAATTTGAACCACAGGTCGATTAGTAGGCTCAAGTACAAGGCATCTCTGCTTTGCGCATGTTTTTCCTTTTACCATTCCGGTGCACTACATTTGTTCGAATATTTATATATTCATTTTTCAGAAGGCAGAGGTACACAAATTAGAAAGGCTATCAAAACAAACAATAGCGCACAATCCAGAAGATTGTCAAAACCAATGAGATCAATCTCTTTTTATCTTCGGCACAAAGGTTACAACATGACCGACCTTCAGCATGATTTCATTGATCAAACAAACAAATTGTTTACACGTGCAGGAAGAAAGTCGACAGGAAGAGGGACATGTTTCCTGACTTTGAGGATCCTTCTGGCTATTGTACAAATACCAATCTGATCCACCGATCTCGTAAAAAAAATCATGGTCTGTTATCGGTAGACCGAGCGAGTTTCCGAAGAAATCCTTCTACAAACTTTACACAAGAACTTTGATCATACAGTGCATCCGGGCTTTGAGTTACAGTGCATTTGATTAGGAAGTCGAGCAAACAGATTAATATAAAATTATCAAAACTGCCCGAATAATATTTAATTCTAGCCTCTTCATTTCCCAGGAACTGCATCCGTCTGGAATCGTTTATAAGAATTGAAGTTAATTTTGGAGTCCATGTTTGAGCTCAATTGCTTAATCCGGGCTGTTGAACGTCAGGATTTATATACAATAATTCGGAAAATATATTTCAGGCCCTCCTTAATTTAATACATGTCTTTCACTGATTTGAGCAATTGATTATCCATGATCATTGATTATTCTTGGGAAAAATTCTATTTCGAAAATATAATCGGAGGACTGCTGGGTTAATCCCCTATAGGTGTATTTATGTGACAATGAATCTTATTTTCATGAAAATCCATGGAGATGATACGCATTTTCGGTAGAGATTCACCATGAAAACTGAAGACATACGCGTGACAACTGACCTCGAAGACTCGGGTTCGAGTTCATTCGCAAGTTTGCTTCCGTTTGATTCCCTGTCGCACACATTGAGTCCTGTCGGAGGGATTCCCGCGAACCTCCAGGCTTTTAATTAGAAAATGTTTTGACAACCTCCGTTTACTCAGGACAAATGACGTTTTCAAGATTTGATCTTGAAGCTCGTATTCCGGGAATGACATGGCTCTCGAGTCCAAATGCATGCGAGTAAAGTTTCGAAAAAGGATTGCTGATTAACTAATGGAACAGCCGTCCGTGGTTTCGTGACCGACATGGAATTTCCGCGTCGCTCTCAGGTTCGGGATGTTGGGCGTATTTTCACGCGTGATTCCGCGATTTTACGCTAGGCAGGAATCCAACCCTCGGGCGAGTAAGGGTGTGGCACACCTCTCGTAAGTCCCACATGCCGAATATGTCGGAAAAACTTGCGGAATTCCTGATTGCGGACGTATTCGTCGACAAGCGTTGACGGCGCGAGATGAACCGTTTTCCGAGGGAACCACGGGGATCTATTCTCAATTCCACGTGATCACGGGGTGGAAAAATGAGACGGCCCGGGAATGCGTTCGCGTCCCCCAAGAATCACGTGCGATACTGGAGGATCATTACTGCGAATTCTATTTGCATCCAGAACCAAACCTGCAGCTGGTTGCGGGGACAAGGCGAGCAGCATTTATTCCACGTCCGTCCGCGCAGGAGACTAGCATTTGTCTTCGTCACTGAGCCCGGGAAGCAATTTACAGACGCCGCCGGGTCTTGTCATCACTTTTGCTCGACAACGTCGTCGGCATCGATCCGCGAGAAACAAATGATAAGAGTACGGAAGGTCGAGAAATGCGGCGCTCTTTGCGGATGTTGGGACCCTTCGAGAGCAAATCTCGGTACCATTTGCATTTTTATCAAGCCTCCGGGATCCATATTTGGGGTCCCAAAATGGCCCAAACTTGCTCCCACGCACTCGCCTAGTCTGCATATCATGGGTCAACTTTGATGTTTGGTTCGATGCTAGCCTATGCACGAAGCAGGAATACACGTTTCAATTATAACAGCGAACGATATAAAATAAAGGATGTAATAGAACTTTGTCTCAATAAAATAAAATGCTTGCCCTGTTGAAATCGATCTGGTCGTTTTGACTGCTCTTCACATTGTTCTTTGCAAAGATTCCGAAACAGTCTCTGACTCGGGCAGTTATTAGTTGCGCACACTTGAAATTATTTTGAGAGCTCCTTCAACTGCAGTCTCAAATGGAGCAAATGGCTGAAAATATCTGAAGACAAGTAGGTTTATTTCGAGAGCAGATTATATAACATTTTTTTAGCTTGTACATAATCTGACGGCGGACGGGATATTACGAGTTGTTTTTTCAGTTACAATACGGTGTAGGAGGATCACAATTATCATTGCATGTATGCTCTTGTCACGCTTCTTCGTAAACGTTGAAAAAGTCTTCGATTAAGAAATAAGAAGCTTAATCTTTTATGTTTGAATGGCTGTGCGAAAGTCTGAAGTATCTACACTACCTGAAGCGTAAAAAAGCAACAGTCCAAAAGATTGGTTCTATGCCAGGTCACGCATGAAATATAGATACAAATTTAACATTTTTGAGAAGGAGGCCGTACCTTTAATTTTCGCAGTCAGGTAAAAAGTATTGCTCCACTGGCATGGATCTCGTCACTTTACAGTTTACAATACTTTTATTTAGAACTGTTACTCGTAGTACGGTTTTCCAAGAACAATTTTCAACTTGGATGCATAGCATTTTTAAGACTTCAACTTCATCTATTGATATCGCGGAAGCGTTTGAAACTTCGTGAAATTTGAATGCTTATTTTGTTACGAGTTTATAAATTAAACACGTTTTAAAATATATATCTCCATAAAGACGAGATGGAAATCAGACGAAAGCTTTGGCTGTTCATCGTCAATTATGATATAAGTCACGCTTCGAAACATTGAATGAATTGAATAAAAGATACTTCATGCCTTTTGAAAGACGAGAACCCATCGCGAAATCTTCTGACGGAACAACAGCGTGTACGTCATATCCTGTTTACGCAGTACGACGGCCTAAGAGCAATGAGTTTAATATGATCTTTTCATTTTTTAAAAGTTTAAAATAGCTCTTGCAATGTCTGATATGCATCTGGTTGCTTGACAGCACTCATCGTAATGCTAAACAGTCTCTTGCTCAGCTAAGTATTCATTTTTGTACCATTTTTCGAAATGGCTGCCAGTACGTCTGAATCTCTGCGAAAAAAACGGGCATCTCGTTCGGTTTCCGGCCATACAACCACCAGTAAGCCGCATGTTTATACTTTTATGCAGCGATGCAAGCAATGATTCCATTCCCCTATTTTGCCTGATAGCTCTCAGAAGCTTTGCTGAGAAGTTCCGTGGCATACGTTGCGAACATAAAAGGAATTCTCAGTGCCGCTTCGAGATAGGCGAAAGATGACGTCATGTTTTTCTTCTCCAGACGGTCTGACGCTTTCTGTCAGAAATACCAGAGCTTAAAGTCAAAGATTTTTTACTGTTGTATCATATGGAACTCAGAAGTCACATTGCCCTGTATTTCGAGGACAAGCAGGAAATTTGGCTGGTATTTTTATCCACATGCAATGAGATGACAGCGAATAATACCCTCTTTCGCCATTCTTTCTTTCCACCAACAAACTTGCGTCAAGGATATCACTGTAATCTGATCAAAGGTGCTAGAAGCTTTGGAAACTACAGTATTACTATCTTGCGAGGTAATTTTTAAAAACAAAATTATGACAACATTGAATGCATTCAAGGTTTATTCCAACTTTGTTTCTTGGTAGCTTGATTTGGGTTTCAAAGATTCAGTTCAAATCAACCTAATATATAAGGTAATACAGTTGAATATAATTTAGAATTGAATACAATTTTGGTCCGCCTTGGAGCAAGTATTATTTAAGGGTCTCATCCGCTTAGTTCACCGAAAGAAGCCTGATTTTGAATGCAAGTATTCATTATAGTCATTATTCTTCAATCTGGATATCTATTCTAGGGCATGGATTTTTAGAAAATTGAACTGTATTTCTTTGGAAAGATTTGGAATTGTTGTATTTTTATTTTTCTCAAAGCTGTTGTGGGTTTAATCTGATATACGTTGGAGCATCATGGAAGGAAACCGGCTATTTGATTTAATCTTTAATTGGAATTTTCGATTCACTCGTGGATTGTTGCTTCGGTGCAATGTTAGTCTGAATGATGAGGTAATATATCAGTCTGACTAAAAATTTCCACGGGGAATATATGCTATCTTTCATTTCTCTAAGCGTCATATCACATACATTGTTAAGTTCTCCAAAGAGAACTTTCAGCATATATTGCCCATGAGCCGCATTATTTCTCCAGCACTTAAATTCCCTTCTAATTCACAGATTTTTATAAACCTTGATAATTCAAGTGTGATTGTGTGCAATAGTTGAACCTCTTTAAGACAAATTTCAAGGGACTAGCAAAAATCGACATAATGAGGCTTTGATTTTGGGAAACAAACATCTTTGTTGAGAGAAACATAGAAGGATTTCCAGAAATTGTAAAGGGTTAAATTCTGGGAATTACATAGCTTCTTACATTAATTTACAGGATTCTGAACTTGAACGCAAGGGTTAATTTGCCTGATTAGTCTTACCGTTCCTTTCAAAAAACAAATCGTTATTTTTTATTGCTTCTTTCTTTCCGGTGAATAAAATAATACCCAAAAGGCCGCAAAAATTTGACTTATTGAGGTTTGAGAGGAAAAGCTTTCGAATTAGGAGGTTTTTAATGCATTATTTCTAAGGGGATTCAGACGGGGACTAAAAAATTTTTTTTTTACTTCGTGAGATATTCGATTTCGAGAGGTTCGAGATATCGAGGTTCAACTGAATTAGCAAACTCAGACGATTTTTTGAAAATATTTTGAATACTATTTTTTAAAAGACCTATCAACAATTTCTAGAAGTTTTCTTGTTTACCCCAACCATGAGATGATGCTTTTGTATAATTGCGTGCCGTCATCGTAATTTTTTTTTCAAGAACGTGGCGTCATGACTCCCATCCTGCTGCTCGGATAATCATGGTTCCATCTCGTTATGACGCGCACTAAGTAATCTTGTGGGACCTCCGTAAGTACTGCCTGAAGTATACGAGGACAGTAATGTGATCAGGGTCGAGAAAACTGGGGTTCGTCCCATTCCCAATGCGCATGCTTCACTTAAGACCGAAATCTTAATGAGTGCGTGCTGCGTGGAAGCAAAGTTCTATGGAACGAAGCATTAAAGACCAAATGACAAAAATAATACGAGTATGTATATTCCAAAGAAAATTTTAATGCAGAGTTGCTCAAGCTGTTCGATTTCCGGAGCTCTTTTTTAAATTTAATTTTGACAGCAAAACCATTCAGCTCTCCCACGTTTCACAAATCAAATTAATTTTGGAGTATAATCATAATTTCCCTGGAATTGAGGTTTCGGTACAGCATGGCATGCTTATTCCCCGGCAGACACATTGAAATTTAATTCAAGACATCAAAATAAAATTCGATGTGTCAGTCGTAGAAATTAATCATGTAATGCTGTACCACATTCTCAATTCCAAGCAAATGGACATTATACTCCTAAATTAATTAGATGCCTTCAAGTTTCCTCCAGTGCATTTGAAGTTGAGAGCAGATGAAGGGCAGATTGAAAATATCTGATAGACTAAATCATGATCAGCTACGCATTTCATTAAAGCACGATATTCTCAATCCTTTTATAGAAAATAATTTACCGTATATTGGAGGTCAAGCTGAAAATATGTCGCATGTTCTAATCAAGGCATGGAACCCTCAAAATGAGGCGCTGAGGAAGCAAGGATGGTCTTGGTTATATATGAACGCCTAGAAGCAAGCTATATACTCGTATGATTGTCGTATCGCTCCTTGAAACCTCGACTCAAAATCGAGGTTATTTCTCTTCACTGCGTCTTCGGAAATAAGCTCTTCCGAATTGCTTTCCTGTTTTCAAACTACTATACATAAGAGCACTCGATTTCGCTTCTAGATTCAATTTCATGCCCCTTCCCCCGGAAAACCTGATCCAGGAAGGCGAAAGGAGCCTGTTTTGACAACGCTGGTGCGAATCGAGAATAAGGGCCCTGCAATTTGATGTGGAATCCCGAATCCACGGAAAGCCGCGGGAATAAAATATTGTTCTCGAGGATAACACTCGGGCACGCGAATGTCGAGTGCGTTTCGTGGATGCCTTGGGCAGAAATTACCGAGAACAGAGCTTGGTGCAAAAGCGTTTCGGGAAATGTGAATTTCGCGTTGCATGTTCCGGGTTTGTTAAGGAGTAGAAAAGCCGCATTCACAGCCTTAGGTATACGCATGCCGCGAAATACGACCCACTCACCGAGCACGATTGCCAACGTTTTGGTGGCCTTGTTCTCCTTTTTTGCTGAAGATCTTTCTCGTTTCCGTTTGCTAGCCTTGTGCACTTTGTAGATAGTGAATCTGCTCGCTGCGGATTGCTGGTGGAGCTGCTCCTTCTTGTTCTGCGTCCCCGAGGTAACATCCGCATTCGGAGATTCTGGAGTCGCTGGTTTTGCCTGTCAAGTATCGCGGAGGAATCATGAGCAGTACTTCTCTTTTTTATTTCGCATTCAAGCTGCATAAACCACGTTGAAACTAAAATAGGCTGCATCCGAATACGGGTTCAGGAAATAGAGAAAACAGCATTCCGTTTTTTCCATGTCACACGGGAATATTTATGTTCATTTCTTCACATTTCCTAAAGCGGACACGGAATCTCAGGGCAGATCAGATCGAACCAAGGTAAAGAAGATCCACTAGCATAAAATATGATTAGGACACACATTGATTCCATAAACGTTCCATAAAAAATATAAAAAGACTACGCTACGTGTTTCAATTTTTAGGATATCGAATATAGCCCACATCCTTCACTTTGAGCCATTTTTATCAGGCCTCTGTAGTCCATATGATCACTTTCTTTCTCCATGTCCTGGTTCCTCGTCGCATGGAAGAGAAGAAAATATTTTAAAAGCATATTCCGGCTTTTATTCATTACTAATATGCGCTGAAAATCTAGAAATAAAAGAATATTCAGAAAAATATTGCAGTTTCTGTTCATGGTCATTCAAACGGATGTGTCATCGGTGTTTGTTCATGGTGCAGGGAAACTATCCTGGGGAACGATGTGGAAACTTTTCGAATAACGCAGACAAAAAATGACAACTTCATGTCATTTTATAATTTTTCTCAGACAGATTCTTCAACTAATGCCAACGAAACAAGCTTCGTCTTCCACATAGACATGCGGAAATAAGGCATGATAACTGAATTCTGTTATATGTCACGACATCTGTGACAAAGATTTTCTAGGTATACACTATCAAACCAATTCTATGTGTCACAGTGAAGGGAATCACGGATCTGAAAAGAATAGGACGTTGATTTTATTAGTAAAATTCGCTCCAAAAATTAGATTAAATTTGAAAGCCAGAAAATTGGAAGTCATAGAGATGATTATTCAGCAAATCGGCACTCAACAGATTCAAGTAAGCTCGAAGTCCAAGGATAAGTTACGAAAGTTTCTTCTATTTAGAAATGGGGAAAAATCGGGTCAGGTAGACTGATGAAAGATCCGATAAAGTATCCCAGATGACGTGGAACTTCGTTGATTCACTCGCAAGGCAGACTAAAGTAGTTTACAGTTTAGTTTACGACTTCGTGGAATAGATCTGAGGGAAATTCGACGGCCATCCAAGCGTCCCACCATCGTTGCTTACTCGATTATTGGCAGTTCCGGCCATCTGCCCAGGCAACAACAACATGTGTTATGTAACCAGCAGAATATTTATAATTGTCACCCTGCCAAGTATACCTATGATTAAAACTTAAAATGTCTTCGTATACTCAAGCAAACCTGAAATATATTCTGAAAAATTCAAATACTTCATTTTATTTGGCCGGTTTCTCGCACCCTTATATTTATTTATTTATTATTTTCATCTATTTATTTTTAAAAGCGCTCAAACCTCGAACAAAATTGATAAAAGCCACTCCAATTCTCGTTAGATAACAGGTGTCAAATTTCTCTTGCGGGTAACTTTTTTGAAAGTGTCTCTTGGCAATAATACTGCTACCAAATCGTAGAACTGAACACTTCCGGAAAATAATCAGAAGAACTTTAATTTTTCGTAGATGTTGACATGGTAACTCAAACAATCACCATCATGGGAATGCAGGTGAATTAAAGTGGGTTTATTTTTCTGGTCAGCCCCAAGCAGGATATATTTCAGCCTCAGGCGTTACTTATACACATTTAGAGAAGCTATTGATTATTTTTCCAAAAGATCAATGATCAAAGCTAACTTGGTTTAATCAGTGGCGCGGACTTGCAGGTAATTGAGGCCGAATCGAGCCATGCATAAGAGTGAGCACGTATGCAAAGTTGTTCGACTTTTATTTTTCATCGTTTAAATGCAGTAGGGCAGCCAACTTTTCAGCGAATTCCTATTCAGGAACGCAAATTTATAAGCATGCACGGCGCATTCGGTACAGTTTAATACGACTCGCATTTGCATGGTTGCAATCAAAATATGCTGAAATGATATATTCAACTGAATAAATCACGGTCGCAATTGAGAAGCTGAAGAGAATTGCTCCAGCATGCAAAATATTTGCCCAAGCGACGAAAACTTTCCTCGAAGTAATTGTTCCGGAATGGGCCTTCCGGATGGACATTCCTTTCGAGAAATGCAAATTATGCCTTTGGAAGCTAGGCGAATAACTTGTGGACAGTGAGTTATTATTCGATCCCCGCTTCCGAACTTTCTGAATCGCAGCCGGTCTTCAGGGAATGAAAGCCTGCTTTTGTTGATTCATGCAAACAGAACTGCAACTTTGACCATCCACAACGGGAAATGAGAAAGGAGATTGTTCCAGCAAAAGATTTCGAAATCTCAACAACGGACTTCCGTCCTTTTCTCATTTTGCATCCAGCTGGGAACAGCAGTCCCTCTAACAGGAGGCTCTCTCAATTGAATATGAGCCGCGGTCACCAGTTTTCCGAGTTTGTGAGATTTTACTGTGAGGAGAGGGTATTTTCCTGTTGTTGAAGTTTCACATGAGAACCGAAGTTAGAAACATGAAATTCCGTTTTCAATTAAATCTCCGAATTCGAAACCTAAGTCCATGAACAATCATACTAAATCATACTGTAAAGTTCTTGAAGGTTTTTAAAATTCTTAGAAATTGACGATTTTTGTGTGTGTCAAAGGTAGTCAAAATCTAGAGATGCTTGAATATTTTGCCAAAAAGTATGAACAGCAATTAAGGCCAGTGTGTTTTGCTTTCAACTCCCATATTGAGATTATATCAATTCAGACCTATCAAAGAATAATTCAAATAGAGTTTGCTGGCTGTGATTCAAATATGCAAAAGTTGGGAATGGCATTAGCAAGATAGCAACTATTAATTACTTTTCTGAACCATGAATTTTGGTTGATGTTTGACACGTTCTGAAAGTTTGCTGTCCAATGACACTTGACTGTATTTATCGGAGTTCTCTTCTTTATGTCCAGTCAAAGGTTTGTATATGGTTGCAGAACATCTCTCGAAAACATCTCTTCAATGTTATCTGTCGGTGTATGTGGTTGAGCTTGTGATTTAAAAATTGTTCACAGTAAATTTCATATGAATTTTCGAGAATATTTTTCACAAGCATCCGAGTTAGTAATAAAATGCAGATGGAATAAAGAGTGACTGTCTGACAATTTTTAATCTACATCAGAAAGGAATTGCCCCAGTTTACCTGTTGCATAAAAAATTGAATCAGTGCTTTAAAAACAGTACATGAATAGCTGATAATCTCACAAAAATACTGAAGTTCTTACCGTGAATTTGGGCATCCACATCAGAAATGTGCCGTATTGCTTTAGTAATTCGTTCTGATCCTTTGAATCAAAATTTCTGGCCAATTGTTACGAAAACTGAAAGAAACAGTGCGAAACCTTTATTTTAAACTGAAGCGAGGTTGTACTGTAAATTCTTTCCGAGGTGACTTTCATGTAAATAGACTCAAATTTTTGAACGCGGTTCAACTGCCGTAGTCGAACATTCATGGAAAAAATCGATTGAGAAAAGCGCAGGTCCATTTAATTTCAGGCTGTGTGTCACCATTCTGAACTCCTGCACTGACGGAATTAAAATGTCGCAAAAAACTGCGCTTCAAAGAATGGGTCAATGATCTGGAATGCTGTCAGCCTCCAAGAATATCTTATCTTACCATTTGACACGAAAAACGAGAACATTAATCGAGCCATCTAATCAGAAAAAAGCCTCCGAATAGTAGCTTTGCAGTTTATTCCATGACCATTTCTGACAGAAGGAATGGTTTCAGGGATTGACCTTCACACATCATAGCATTGTTGTCCTTGAACCAAGAATGGCCATAAACATGTCATGCTTCCGCCAAGAATGTGTGATGCGATGCATCTTTGCTTTTTTTTTGAGATTCAGGAAGCATCCGATTCGTCGGGTAGCAATTTTTTAGAGGCTACTTTCCGAGCTTTCCATCGTACTGTAGGAAATATATACGCTGAACTTCACCTCTAGAATTTCTGAAAAAAAAATTAAATTAACAGAATTCTTCCATTGCACCTCTGCGGGTTGTGAAGAGTTATCTTCAAATGGGCCTAGCATTCCAGAAATAGACTCCCGCACGTTCCTAGAAAGCCTCGCTTGACGTGCAATTTTCCTGCGCATGATGCTTTTTCTTGCAGTCTTTTTTGACAGGATTCATGTCGAAAATGATGTGGTAATCTGACAGATGAGTCGTGGGTGCCACCTAACCTATGCAAGTTACGTCAGGTGCGTTTGACCGAAACTACATCATGCGTTCACGTGGTAGATTTTCCCGAAATTCGAGTCATCGACATTCTCTGTTTTGTCTACTTTTCATGATCAATTTCCTTCATGTCTTTTAAAACTATGCACGTGGAACCAAAATATGTAAGTTCGTCGGTCGTCAATGGTGAACTCTACTAGGTTTTAAAACTACTGTGCTGACCCAAACGAAATGACTTCTGCCGAAACACGGATCGTTACGTTGTATATTGCCATACGAGTATACTACTCATATAGACATGAAATTCTCGTGCGCGTTACTAGTCCTCTTTCTTACATGTTTCAATCATCACAAAATATAGAAGATATTCTTGTGCTTTTATTTTAGGCGGCACTCCGAGGATAAACGAAAAGCGTATCTTCTACCATATGAGCGGTTAAGCCTGCTCAGCGGTGCTACAGAGATGGACAAGTTCTGTGTACTTATTGAGAGATTATCACGTGCAGAATATTATTATGCATTGATGTAGGCAGTTGAAAATATATCACCCAACATGAAAACTACTAGACGGTACATGTAATGCCGGAATATATTCAAATTAAAAGCTACTTAGCATTTGCTAATTGCAAGACTCCTTCGTTTTGATGAACGTTTCAGCCAAAATAATTCTTGAAACCTTCGAGTACAAAATTCGATAAATATTGAGTACGGTTTCCATAAACCATAACATAAATCGCGATTTGAGCATATCATTGAGTAACTGAACCAATTTATGCGTTCTACGATCATATCTAAATAATCTGGCGAAAAATTGGTTTCGTTTATTATTCATTTAGACACGATTATCTTTCCAGTGTTCTCGACTTTTTTTTCCAGGAAATCCATAGCCATGACCGCATTGAACACGCAAAATTCACGAAAAAATGATACCAGTGAGAATGATACTCGAATACCTGTACATGCTATTAATCTTGCTGAGAGAAAATTAATTTAAAACAATGCGTGGGAAGTTATGCACGAGTATAGATGATCAAAAATTCCCCTTTTCGTGAAACATATACTGTACGTGGATTTTGCCCCCGAGTGAAATAGGGATAAAAAAGGTACAACACTCAAATTACATATCCAGAAGCCAATAAGCGTAAAAAATGGACGTCGCTCTCAGAACTACGATCCATCAAATGTTGTATAATCGAGGATTGAAAAACGATTGCGAGTTAGCTTCCATTCAGAGGGCCAACAGTCTTTTATGCAAGATATATTATTTCAAGATCTGCGACAATACTGTTTTATTGGCGGGGTATGATCAAACAGAGGGACACATTTTGTTCCCAACAAATCCATCTTCTCATTATTCATTCACAAATAGCGGTCAGAGATTCGTTGGCTCAATTACATCTTCCCGTGGGGTTTTTGTGCGTCAGAGCCGCGTCCGGTCAATCAATCATCGCACAAATTTGTGACTTCAAGTGATGCCCGCACTCAGATACGCTGGTGCAATCAATCGAAACGATGGTCTCCGCACGACCTTACTTTTTTGACGTCCAAGCGGGCCATTACTGAACTTCCTGCATCGCAAGGAACGGATGCCAATTAGTGTACAAAATGAGCAGATGCCATGTACGAACTTTTAAAAAATAAGCACGCCAAGGCAAATATGTGACGCAGAAAAAGTTCCAACCATCAATTGCGAACATTGCGGAGAGTTGTGAACGGTAAGCTTGAGGTACCCAATGTGTTCTTTTTCGATTGAGAAAAATTACGGTTGATTAACTCGTCTTTTTTTTAAAACCAATTTAATCTCTTCAACTTGAATTAAGACGGCTCGGAAGTTTTCAAGTTAGGGAAAACAGCATTTTTGCTAGGAAAAAATTAAAAATATCACGACGGTGAAATTCGTCATCTTCTGCGCCTTAAACTGCTGGGTAACTGGGTTGACGGTATTCTCAATTTGTAAACACTTTTACATTTGCCCAAGTCTTCGTTCACGTCCTCTTGAAAATCATCAAATTAAGTGTGCATTACTTTTCTATTTCCTGTGTCCCTGGAATAATACAACTATAAGGTCCCTTTATTAATTCAAGTTTCTGTTTATATATTTGAGGCGAAGCGTGCTTGAGTTGAAGAGGAATATATTACATGGCTTTGAAGGGACTTCAGACAGGGACAACACAAAAATTTAACATAAATTATGACTTACGGAGGCTTGACTTATGAAGGTCTGTCTGAATCGGAAGACGCGCATTTTCTTTGTTTTTCAATCGAATATTTTCCAATTTTTTAAATCGAGAACTTCTCTGATGCATACCATTTTTTTGTATTCATGTCAAAAATGAATTTCATCCTTAAATGTAAATGGGTTCACAGGATTTTGATCAAGAAAATAGTATACTTGGGAACATTGCGCAAATGAAGATCGCCTTTCACTAAATCCAAGTATTGATCCCATAGTCGTTTTTTTCAATCGAATATTTTCCAATTTTTTTAATCGAGAACTTCTCTGATGCATACCATTTTTTTATTCACGTCAAACATGAATTTCGTCCTGAAATGTGAATGGATTCACAGGATTTTGATCAAGAAAACAGTATACTTGGAATATTGCGCAAATGAATAGCGCCTTTCAAAAAATCCAAGTATTGATCCCATATAGTCGGTTTTTTCAATGGAATATTTTCTAATTTTCTTCATCGAGAACTTCTCTGATGCATACCATTTTTTTTATTCACGTCAAACATGAATTTCGTCCTGAAATGAGAACGCGTTCACAGGATTTTGATCAAGAAAATAGTATACTTGGAATTTTGCGCGAATGAAAAGCGCCTTTCACAAAATCCAAGTATTGATCCCATAGTCCTTTGAACTTTGAAGGATCCAGAAAATTGGTTTTCGAAAAAACTGAATTTCAACGCACATCATGCAGTATTTGAAAAAAAAAAATTTAAACGTATCCCTCGCATTATCGAAGCATCATCGAAGCTTTTAGACCGTGGCAATGGAATGTACTATTACTTTTAATCGTGCAGTATTAATCATGCCGCGGATCAATCTCTGAAAATTTCACACGAAAGGCATAAATAAAATATTGACGCCGACATTCCAGCGGTATTCTGGAGTATTTTCGACGGAAAAGTCGAAAGAAACTCGTAAAAACAGTGCACTGTAATCTCCATTTGTATGTAATGTATCAAGTCTATGATGCCCGCAAGGGTTTCAAGAGTACTGGATTTTACATCAACTTTATTGAATTATTACCAGTCTTACTTTCATCATCGAATCTCAGCTTGTCTGAGACTGATGATGATATGCTCTGTGTTTAGAAACCCGCGGGTAGGTCGAAGGAGGGTTAAATTTGACATTCACTCATCTCTAAACCTATTGAAAGGCCGATGAAACATTACATCCATATATGCATCGTTCATCGAAAGCCCCTATGTCTTGCTTGCATTACGGTATAAGGTACGAAATTTGCACGGTAGAAGCAGCTGCTCTTTCTCGACGTTAAGATGGATTGCTGCGGCACATTGTGAATGAGAACAGCGTGAATAGGCGGCAGATGATCAACGGGAACGTTAAATTAAATGAAAAAGGGGCATATAAGAAGTTAATTCTGAATAACCATAAATAAGCATCCCGGAAAATACGACATGGACCGGTGACTCATTTCCAAGCCATTAGACCCGGTCAAAGTACAGTAATTGCACAATAATTTGTGTCTTATTGCGAGCTTCACCAGAATACCACTGCGACAATTTTTTCTCTTCAATCAGCATGTAGCCCAATTCATTATTCGACTTTTGGCCATTCATAAAATGTTACAACATAGTTTGTTCGGAATTTTTTCCAGATTCCTCAGCACTAAATTTCGACGGAACCAGTCTACATGATGAGCTCTCAGAAAAATAAAATTTAAAAACCTGGGAAATAAGTTTCCAATACTTTTATTCTTGAATCCGATCAATACTTAGTTTTCACAGCCGAGGAGGCTAGAAATCAGTTAACCTTCCAACCAACTGCATGTCATGACAATCAGTTTTCGGTGCCTGAAAGGCGTAGAACTTCAAAACCTTTTCAAATATCAATGGGTTCCCAAGACTTAGAACAAGTCTACGGTATTAAAAAAAATATGTAGCGATTGAGAAGATGCTTGCATCAAGCCGTAGTATTAAAACCAAGGTCGTCTGAACTTCGATGGATCCCAATTCAGAAAATTGGTTACCAAAAGAACGCAGGCTTTTCCTTGGGTTACGGACTGCATATTTTGCCTTCATTTGTGGGCCACACTTCATTCACAATCAACTGCATTCCATTTTCCTTTATTTTTCCTGTAGAAGCTTTCGATTTCATTGGAAAGCGCCCTCAGGAATCCGCAGATCAGAGGTTCGGAGCTACTTAACAAAGAGCAGGGCTTTTTAAGCCTTTTGTGACATGTTAAGGCTCAAGGGCCATCCCTAGGGTGCACCATCTGGCCAAGTACCACCTGCACACGGCCTTGCCTTGAGGCGATAAAAAATCAGATCACTCCAATTTATAATTTGGCTTGAATCAGTGTGTTATTTAATAATTTAGCCAATTAATCCCATAAATTATGGCTAACTGTGAACACAGGAGTTTTCATTAAATCTGCGATGGCAGTGGATTCATTCCCATCCCGAAGCAGATATGGTGTTTTTCCAAATGCAGGCAAGTTTTGGTTCGACCAAATGTGACTAAAATACAGTAATGTGCTTGCTCAGTAGGTCAAGTCAGAGATTTTATGGGAGGACTCAAACCTATTGTTCAAAAATCCTCAAATTTCAATTTTACGGTAGGAATAAAAAAAAAATTAGCTGCCGTGGGCTGTTTTTTTAAAGCAGGCATTTTCTGGTCTAAGAATGAAAAAAGATTGTTCCCAAACTTAAGATATGTTTACCAACCTAAGCAGTTTCTTTTTTTTGTATTTCTGTGCTGTCGGGTACCATCTACAAAATTCTGCATTGGCCACAAGAAGGTTTAACGATACCATCCTCATGCTCACCACGTATATGTTCATACCACAGTGTTGCGCCAACCGCCATAGAAAAGCCCTTGCCTAGGAAATGTCTCTGACAGAATTTCCAAGGAATATTCGGTCACATGGTTGACGTAAATTGAATACCTTACAGGGCAGTGCACGTTTATTAGAAAACGCCTTATTTTAGAACAGGGGTGTTCGAGGCTCACAGAGAATTAATTCGATCCAATGAAAACTCGAATGGAAATATTTTATGTTTTCAGTCACCACCGTTTAATTCGATGGTGTGGGAAAAATATCCCAAGCCTGGGTATAATTTATTGCTCGCGACGCGTGCTTGGACGAGTCATCGGATGCGTACGCAGATACCACGTTGAGCGGCCTTCGTGACGAATGCGGAGATTGCATCTCCTCCGGGTTGTTGTTCCTATATTCCTTCCCGTCCTTCCGTTTTTTCCCCCATCTCACTTCCTCTTATTTTACTACCCTGCCTTGCAGGGGGAAAAGGCGAAGGAAATACATGTATTGTAAAAGCGGTCCCGCGGGACCGGACGGAAAGAAAAGAGGTCGCAGACTTACTGCTGGGTCTGTCGACTCGGGTCCCTTGTAATGGTTGGCCGTAAGCAGAGCTCGCTGGGGGCTCGGGCTGGAGTTGCGGCTGTCGCTTGGGTCGCTGTTGTCCGCCTTCTGCGCCGCCTCGGGACTGAAGGCGGCGCCGTTGGACCCGCGGTGCTCCAGGGACTCGGCGCAGTTGTTCCTATCGCACCTATATAACGAGTCCAATCGTCGATACATCACTTTTCGTCATTTCTTCTCTCGTCTCGTGAGACTTACGCTGTGCGATTGACCTCCGCCATTTCGATGCACTCGGCAGCCTTGGGATTCCTGATGACGTGACACTGAGCCCCGTCCTCCTGCGAAAAAATGAATCAGTGAGACGGAGAGTGTAAATATATTCTGTGGGTACCTGGGGATCGCCAGATCAGATTCCATCATTTATTTTTCTTTTGGGAAATGCGATATCCTGAAGGATGCCATTGGCCGTGCATCTTCCGACTTATGTATATACTGCACATGACGCAATTGAGCCCACTTTCCATTTAGCAAACTATGAAGAATTTATTCAAGTAAAAATATATTCCTGAAAAATGGTTCCTCGACCATTTCATCAAGATGTCCTGGAATTATTTTTAGTTCTTAGTAGGTCAGCTTATTTTTCAACATTTGACATTTTAGGAGTTTTATCACATTATCGCCGAAAATATTATGAGCTCCTTTGCTGATCCTATTTCCCAGATCTGGGAAATCGTCACTAAGAATCCTTTTAGACTGATAGAATTCTTTGAATGAAGTTGAAGCACTGGCACTTCCAGCAAATTCACAACAGGTGGAAGTGTGGCAGGTGCACGTATCTCCCCGACAGTTTTGGTGTGAACCTTTCACGCTCTGCCTTTTTGAATACTGCATAAACGTTGGTGAGTATCAAATTAAAGGTTGATCAGGCATTGATGAGGTGTTATTCTGACAGAATGACGTCGATCTCCATTCATTGCAGGGGACTACAGCAATGGAAGAACACGAGCCAACCCTCCCATGGATAGTATAGTCATATGGAGTTTATTTTTCAGGTTTGTTTATCAAACTGAATTTACCTGGATTCAACTTTCCTCATACATGGCTTCGTTTTTAAATTCTACAGCACTTGATTCGTATTCAAGTGCTATTCTCTTGGAGGTGCTTCAGATACATCTCGAAATGCTCAGCACACGTTGTAGGGGTCCGCGGAGCACAGATTTGAATCCCAATCCCATGTTAGCGTCATTTCTACTACAAGAAAGGCTACACAATTTGAATAAGTTTCCTTAAAAAGAACCATTCAGACGCTTTTCGCGGAGTTGGCGTCTTTCTTTCGTTTGTTTTTTTCAGCTGCTTTTCGCTCTTGGGGATATTCGTCGAGGGTCCTGTCACGGCTAACAACATCGTCGGGCAGCCTTTTGCCTGCAGTACTCGTCCCAAATCACCGCCGCCGCACGATTATGCCATCGTAATTCCAACACCCCGCTCACTTGGGATTTAATCGGGCGGCGCAGGGTCTTCTCTGCCATTTTTCAGCGCCCAGATCATTTCCAGACGGAAGAGGCTGGAGCATCATCGAACGTGATGTCTTGTCATCATGTCTCGCGACGCTTGATCAATACTGCATACGCCTCACGACACGTCGAGAGACCACGACCGACAACGGCAGCCAATCTTCTCGACACGACAAGACAAGAGGCATATGCCGACAAAGCGACGCGGCGCCGCTGAACTTGATTAATGCGACCATCGCAGCGTGCGTTTCCTACTCAATGATTACGCGACCATCTGGCACGGGGTTCTTTTCTTCGCATTCATCCGGAACCCGGAAATTGCTGATTCGAGGCCTGGGCTTAGGTATTTGCCTAGACTTCGTCGCGCGATGCTGGGAAACAATATGTGTCCGGGCGCACGACACCGGGTCTCAGGCTGCTAAACCCGTTGCGTCGCACGGACAAATGCGGTTAACAATGGACGATGTCCATGAAGGGAATGGCGTGACGAAATACCAGGCACAGCACACTTGCACTTGTATCAGAGAAACCAGATCAACCAACTATGGGTCACTGCTGCGAGGAAACTGAATTTCAGACACCCACGGATGACGTATTTATCAGAAGGTGATAACCTCGCTAAAAAATTCGAAGATATGTTCTATTTTCAGATGACGTCCAAAATTCGATGGCCTCTTAGATTTGCAGGCCAAAGCCATGTTTGTTTTAAATAAGTCAATCAGAATGACGCTTCGATTCCATTGAACAAGCCATCACTTTCAATTAACATTCATAAAAGTAATAGTATATACAGTACTACATTTATTTTATATTTCAATTGAGAAGGTTACGCTGGAAACTGGTGCATGAGTAAAATCGAAAAACTTCCCTAATTCTGCTGAAATTGAATTTTATGTAAATACCTCTCGGGTCTCGCATTTGTCAGCAAAATTACGTTCGATTTCTGAGGAACTTTTTTGGTCCGGATTATGGCTAAGTTTTGGCTGAGATGGTTTCTCACCAGAATGAACCTTCCTTCAAGCTTCATATGAAAAAAGGATGATCGCCATTCCTCAAAAGGCCGAAATAATAAATCATGCATTCCGTCCAGCGTGAGTCGGATTGGATTTCAGATTTATGACGCCATAACTCAAGCACGTGGAATCCACTGAGAATTTTAATTTCTTATGAAATATGGCGCACATGATTGGCTATTTGAAGTATTCAAAGTTTCCCAACGAAAACCACATATATGTGGGTATTGTCTGGTTGAATCACGCCTGAAATATTCGGAATTATTTTCTGGGATTCTTTCATTTATTCTGGTAATTCGGGATTCGGGAAAATCGAATTTGCCCAAAAATTTTGGAACACCGTTACTGAAGATTTCAGTAATTACCATCCATTTAAAAAATCTGAAAATACAAGATACGGTACTTTGAAAATTATAACTCCATATGTCATGCACGGATGAATTAGTAATTTTGTCTAGTAGCTTTTAAAACCTGGATTTGATGGTGCTCCATTAAAAAACGAATAGAAACCTTGCGCGTAAATGCGGAGGATAAACCGCAGCAACCCTCCTCCATACTAGCTCATGTAAGCCTGGAGACTTCGAAAAACGTAATTTCCGTTTTCAAAATTTACTCAGCGCGAGTAAAAATCCCCCGAGAATTCCCCTTCCCAGTGTGATTCGACGTTCGCGTCCAGGAAAAAGTGATGTTTTAGCATAGAGGATATTTCTGGTTCCAGGTCTATGCTCAGTCAGAGTACAGAGGGTTCAAAGCAATCTGGGGCGATAATCCGCCGAATGTTGTTGACAGCTTAGTATGAAGTAATTCACCACGCGAGATGCAGTCCGAAGGACATGGGCGTGCAATTGAGTCAACAACTCGTGCCTGACGCCTCCAGCAGAGAAAGAAGGCGAGGAAAAAACCGGGAAATTTAGCGTCCATTCGGGTGACGAAGCGATAAATATCTGCGTCAACGCTTCAGTAAATCCTGGAGCAAGAACTGAATCAGTGGACAAGAGAAAAATCCAAGCCCAGTACTTGGCGTACACGTGATCTCCGGGGAAATGCAACCGGAGGCGCTTAGCTGCCGTACACCGAAAAAAGGGGATCATCCCCGAGTGTTCCATTTTCGGGATCTACTTTTTTCCATCCACCTTCTGCTCAAGAAACATATTGAGCAGACCGATGTTCTCCAGATGGAAAGGTTTTCCGCGGAGCATGCTCATCACACCAAACATGCACTCTATAACAAAAGACCCTCACTATCGATGAGAGCATTGGACTACCGTAAGTTTGAGTCAATGATCCCTTCACATGATGAAGGTTAAGCAAGCAGTCACTCGAATAGCTCAGCAAACAGCACCCGCACTTACTGAACGGCTCTTTAGCACTCGGGGAAACAATCGCTGAGGACATTTGACACAATATACGCTTAGCCAATAGCTTAGAGCACTGCAGACGTTGAGAGCAATACGTGGCCTCGAAAGCGAAACTCAAGATGATCATTTAACCCCCATATAGGAACGCGAAGTTTATCTGTTGGGAACTCTGTCCAATACAATTTTAAATTCACGCATGCCGATCTACGTTCAGGTGTTTGAAATATAGGCGACGCAGCTAAATACTGTCCTGTATTTCATTGTACGGTACAAGAATCAATTGAGGGACACCAAGATGCAGATTCTCTATAAAAACTAAGCCGGCTGATTTAAAAGTTACGTCAGTATCGGGCTTCCCTTGTATAGGCCTCTTGGATTCGAGATTGCGAACATAAATGGTACAGGCTAAATTAAAAAAAAATTGATCCGTGTGCCGATGTTCATCAAGCATTGTTCACGTCGATGCTGCATATTTTTACAGTTACGAATGTCTTCTTCCGAAATTTTCTTAAATTTGAAAATTGAAGAAACAAAAAGTAGAACGTTGATGAAAAGGAACATTTTAGCATTTTTAAGACATTTGACGATGTTTTTCGGAAATATTTTGGACAGCCTTTTTGGCATAAACTGAAGTTTGTACTTCTGCAAACGCACGGCAAAATTTTTCCCATCTGAGGAAGCATTTTTGCTAAATTTTTGACCCGTAAATGCGCATCAAAACACCCGGGGGAAAATCTGTCTAAATGATTCAGAATAGTGGAAGAAGCTCTTGAATGAAAAACCATCCAACCGTCAAAACCCGTTAAAACTGTTTTATCACTTGAATTTTTTTGTAAATGATGCTAAATGATTATGAGTAAATTATTGTTAGCTAATTCTACTCTAAAACTTTAATTTTCAATCAAAATTTTATCACGGTAGCAAAATTTCTCAAAGCCTGCGAAGACTTGCGGAGCGTCTCGTTATGGACCACATTGTGGGTTTGAGGATTCTTTACTTTTAAAAACGCTGGCATTTAGTGCCACTTGATTTCAAGGTACTGGCAAATATGTTAAGTCATCCCTCGCATCTGATGCAATCAATTAAACAAAGGGCGGAATTTTGGTTTAAAAACTTTACCAGGGGTTCATCAGAGCTTCTGAACGCTGATAGTAAATCGCAGCAGCGTTTTTTCTTTATCGCAAAAATGTTGCGTCAAGTGGCTCCAGATTAACCAGTTGACAGGCCCCTGAGATTAGCTGCCTAAAATGAACAGCACCTCCAGAGACGATAATAAACGTTCCTGTGGCGACAGAGACAGATAGAGCAGAAAGACGCGGTACAAGGTTTTCAGTGACAGCTCTAGAGTGAGACAAGGACCGCAACTGATGATCATCAACCAGTACCGCGGCCGCATCCGTATTGATATACGACCGAATGAAGCCTTTCAATAAACTCCTCGCAGAAAGGTTCCCCAGAGAATCAAATGCAGCGAACACGCCTCATACAGAATAGCCCATGCTGCGAAATTTGGCCGAATAGCCCGCGTAGTCGCCAAATAACATAAAAAAGGGGGCGGAAGAAAAAATTTGGCCTGTATAAGGATCCCGCGTCCATTTCTCAGCGCGGCTGTTGGCCGGTAGAAATATGTACGCGAGGAACGTGGTCATCTTCGGACCCGAAATAAGGACCCCTTGCTTCGTCTACGTCAGCGCCTGGTCCCTCCATTCATATTTCGCAAGAAAGTTTTTGCCCGCTGCGCAAATCCCATTATGCTCGGCGTTCACAGCACCAATTTCCGTCGCGCTATGCACTATATCATTCATTACGATTCCGTGTACCCAGAGAGCAGAATTTGCGAACCTTTCATCACAAGTCCAGAGCAGAAAAAAGAGTCACAGACATGCGTCTTACCAGCAAACAAAGCGAATTGGAACCGTCGCGTCGAGTCCGAAATGTAAAATTAAAATTAGTCCGAGATTCCTTTGTCAGGAAGACAACTTCACGACAATCATATAAAATTCTCACCAGGTCAAACTCGAATAAACTCTGCTTGATTCAAGCCTTTTTAATAGAATACCGTGTTCAAGCGTGTTTCTTAAATTTTTTATTGCAGTAATCATATTTTCCAGGGTAATGACTTCGTGCTCTTTCCGAATAATCAAATGCTGGAAATTGATATATACCAGGCAAAGATTCGAGAATGTTACACTCATGCTCACTAAAGTTGAAGTACTTTAGTCGGAATAGCGTTTCCTTCACTGTTGATGAAGCGATTAAAGGAAAATGCGTTATATATAAACTATCTTTTTTTATCTTCCGCATATGTTCATATATTCGAGGCACGAATAGTTGAGACTCGGATAATTGGAGTTCTGCATCGGTAAAAATACTTCGAGGTCGTTCATACACACTTCCTAATTGACGCGTGGTAATATAACCGGGAAGTTCCTCCTGCTGCATAAAAAAAACATTTGCGATTTAAAAATCTGTTCATCTGTCTGTTTTTTGCAGATATGTGCGTAATACTGTTCCGAAGAAATCCATCCTACGCAATAATGGAACATTTCCATAAAAAGTTTGCGTCATCAAGAAGTTTTCGGTCGAAGTATGAAGATTCCTCTACAATTCTGTCCGCTGCTGCCCGAAACATTTCCCTACATCA